GTGTCTATGAGTTTTTCTTTGTTTTTCTTGTTTACTCTTTTACTATTTTCAGTTTTATATTCCACATATGAGTGAAATCATATGACCTGTGTTCTTAGTTGAATTTCTTTGGACTATACCAGCTTAAGAGACCTCATAATTGGAAAACAGCAAAAAGTATACAAGACAATTCACATGTGACCAATAACCAAATATTTTACCCTTACTATTAAGTGATTAAAATGCAGAATAGTAAAAAATTTCACTTGTCATGTTGGCCAAAAGTTTTAAAATTTATAATACCCACCATGGGTGAGAGAACAGGAAAATGGCCACTCTCTCAAAATCTTGGTAGGAGTGTAAATTGATACACCTATTAGAAATAATTCGGCAATCTTCATTAAGATTTGAAGTGGACATACTGTTTGAATATCTTCTGAAAATCTATTCTATCAAAATACGAGCTGGTGACTAAGGATATATCTTTGTGGTTGGTCGTTGCAGCTTTGTTAATAATTGACTAAGTGTGGAAAATTTCTAAATGCTTATCAATTGAAAAATACTTAAATTATGTGTCATACATAGAGGAGGCTCTGCCTGTACTGACATGGAAAATATCAGTAATGCATTAATGAGAGAAAAAAGATGCAGAGTGGGGGTGGGGGAAGCTGCAGAAAAAATATATTGCTTGCCATTTTTATGAGGATAAAACCCTGCACACATGTGGGCCCACACACGTGCTTAGGTAGAATGCATGTGTATATATTCTACTCTTTGTTGTTAACCCCCGCTTTACTTCTAATTTGTTCTTGTAATTTGTTTGATATTATCCTCCACTTTCTAACTTTAAAACATATTACAAGCTACAATGTTCAAGGTAGCATGGTACTGGTATAAATACAGACTTACAGACCAGTGGAACAGAACAAAGCAGAACAGAGAGCCCAGACATAAATCCACACATATAGGGTCAAATGATTTTCAACAAAGGAGCCAAGACCTCAAAATGTCTCAGGAAAGGATGGTTTCTTCAACAAATGATGTTGGGATAACTGTATGGCCACATGCAAAAGCATGAAATTGGATCCTTATCTCACAGCACAAACAAAAATCAACTCAAGATTGATCATAGACATAAGGTCTAAAACTATAAAATGCCTAGAAGAAAACATAGGGGCAAAGCTTCATAACACTGGTCTGGGCAATTATTCCCTGTGCGTGGAACCAAGGCATAGGCAACAAAGCAAAAATAGCAATTGATAGTCACGCTTCTAGTCAGACTTAAAAGCTCCCACACAGCAAAGGTGATAATCAACCTTTGATTATACTGAAAAAGCAACCTACGGAATGGAATGGAAAGGCAACCTATGCAAACCTTATATCTGATAAGGTGTTAATATCTCAAAATATGTACTGAAATTTTAACACAATAAAAACAAACAAACAAAACTCTGATTTAAAAATGTAGAAAGGATTTTAATAAATTTTTCTCCATAAAGGCCATATAAATGGCCAACAGGTATATGGAAAGATGTTCAACATCACTAATTATCAGGGAAATGCAAATCAGAACCACAATGAGGTACCACCTCACACCTGTTAGGTGGCTGTCAGAGTGGGAGGGAGAAGAAGAGAGAGGGAAACAGGTGATGAAGATTTGGAGACACTGGAACTCTTGTGCATTGTTGGTAGGAATGTAAATGGTACAACCACTGTGGAAAAATAGTATGAACGTCCCTCAAAAAATTAAAAATAGAAGTACCACATGATCCAGCAACCCCCACTTCTGGGTATTTGTCCAAAAGAATTGAGAATAGGATCTCAAAGAAATATTTGCACTTCTATGTTTGTTGAGACATTATTTACAATAGCCAAGAAGTAGAAATAACCTAAGTGCCCATCAACTGATGAAAGGTACAAACAATGTGATATATATATATCTCCCCCCCACACCCATACATACATGATAGAATGTTATTCAGCCATAAGAAAGAAATTCTGTCACATGCTACAGCGTGGATTAACCTCATGGATAGTACACTGAATGAAGTCAGCCAGTCACAGAAGAACAAATACTTCGATTCCATTTATATGAGGTGTCTAAAGTAGTCAAACTCAAAGAAGCAGAAAGCTGGCAGGGGCTGAGAGAAGACAATGAACCTGGAGGTTCTTTTGTGCAGGCTGAAAAAACTCTAGACATGTGTTGCAGAACATTGTGAGCATAGTTAACAATACTGTACTGTACATTTAAAAATGCATTAATAGGGTAGATTTCATGTTATTCTTTCAACCCATGGTGCGGGGGAGAGATTAAGAAGGTTTAGGACATAGATCCATTCAGTGTCCATTGTGTTCCTAACATTTTAGCTGGTTTTGAGAAACCAGGTATTATCTCACAATTGAAGAAAGACTGAAAGACTACATGAAAACTTAGAAGTATATTTTTTAAAAGGTCTAATCAGAAGTAGACAGAGAGTTTGATACAAATAGGGAATTAATACAAATGCTTTGACTTATCACTGCTAACCCCCTTTTTAGGAGACAGCATCACATTTTGGAAAAGTCTTAAGGTTTTTAGTTCAGCTAAAGGTAATAAACCCTCTCTTTCTAAACACTTCTGTGTGAAGTCATTAGACAAGATAGCAAGGAAGCCTGAGTGTGGTGACATCCTTTCCGCAGTTCAGCCTGATTAATAGTGAGGTGGGGATGGATTTGCTTGATTTTCCTAATGACAATTTTAATCTCTTTCTGCCTCGGTTTCTCTCTCTCTCAGTTCTCTTGTGGTTGCTTTCTTGCTTCTTTTAATTAGCTATTTTAAAAAAATACTATTTGTCTTTCCTCTAGGTAGAATGCATTGCCCATGGTTTTCAGAAATCTAACTGGATAGCTCGGAGAATGTTTGTTTGCAGGAATCTTTGCCACCCAGTTGTAATCTTATCATAAATTTGATTCCTGTGCCTGTTTCCTTGACATGGATGTGTATGTCATGGCCAAGGTCATAGCAGTCACTATCTTGGTCATTCCAGAATAAATCTAGTCCATTTCCAAATCCTTTTTTAAAAATTTGCTTTGCAGTTAATTCAGGTGACAGCTTTATTTGCTTTTTTGGTTCTTTTCAGCAATTTTTAAAAATCACTAAGCTCTACATGCTTCATGAAGGTAAGGACTTCATCACCCTGTCATCTCTCCATCCCCAGAGTGCAGAGCAGTGCCACAGCAGATATTTGTGGAATGAGTGAATCCATGACTGAATGTTTACTTAAAACTTGTGTGTTTTCTTAATTTTGCATTGGACTTTAAAAAATTATTTTACTTTAGCCCTGACCAGTATGTCTTGGTTGAGCGTCGTCCCATAACTGCAAGGTCATGGGTTCAATTCCTGGTCAGGGCACATACCTGAGTTTCAGGTTCAGTCCCCAGTCCAGGCATATATGGGAAATACCCAATCAATATTTCTCTCTTGCATCAGTGTTTCTTTCTCTTCCTTCCTCTCTCTTTATGAAAAAAGCAGTGAAAAAATGTCCTTGGATGAGGATAAAAAATAAAAATAAAATTATTTCACTTTAAATTTGTGTTCTTTGTCTAAGAAAAAGCCAGAACTTGCATTTGTAAACAAGACATTTGTTATATATAATCTCTTCCTCCTCCTCTTTTGCTTCCATAAAAATAACTTAAAAATACCAAGTTCCTCTTCTATTTCTTTTAAAGTATCTCCTAGAATCTTTCTCTAAGGCTACTGGTGAAATTATTAAATGCATTAGACTGAAAAATCAGGTTTTCCTTTTATCTTGATGAAAAGTAGCCATTTTGAACAGAGAAAGGAAAGGCAAAGGCTGGCAATAATTGATTCAGGATTGATTGACAGATAATTAGACAATCTTGGTTGAACAAACACAATATCTCTTATTGTTCCACCAGCAAACAACTCAGCTAGTCTAGTACTAATATACATGTAGGTGTCCGTTACTATTTAATCTCATCTCACTATATTCTGGTAAGTTGATAAGTACTTTGATGGGAGAGGAAGCATAGCTGTTTAGTTTAGTTTGTATTTTACTTAGAAAAGTGCATTAAAAACCACAAGATTTGGTAATGTTTTCAGTGCTTATCTTATGGATTTTTGTAACCATGCCACTTGAGAGCAGGTAACTTTTTTCCCTTAGTGACCACTGGGTGGTAAGTTATTAGGAACTTATTTAGCTTAATAGGTTTAGAGGAACACAAAATAAAGATTGAAACAATTGTCAGTGAGGTATTTGGAATATCTAAAAGGTTGTACAAGTTTTGGTATACATATATATTATTACAAAAGAACAATTCTAAATCATTTAAAATTAAAGCTTTCTATACAACGTATTATATTGCTTATATTAATAGTAGCACAAATGTGAAGCAACCTAACTCCCCAAAACAGGGAAAATTTATTTAAATAATCTATGTCAAGAACTATATTAGGTGCTTTACATATATTGTCATTTATTTCTGGAATAATTGTACAAGCTAAGTCAGTCAGCCTTATTTCATGACAAAGAAGTTGAATACCTAGCAGTACAGTTACTTTTCCAAGGTCATATCACTGATAAACTGCTGAGTGAGGGTCACAATGATCTGTTCTCTAAACCGCTCAGCGGATGACAGCACCAAGAATGGAGGCTATGAGGTGACTTAAAAAGTAAAAGCATGAAAAATATGCCAATGATAACTTTAAAAGTTCGACTTAAAATTCCCATATATTGTAATTACAACATAACTGTGTTTAAATAATAGAGTAAAATATTATAAAGATTTTAGTGCTTGTATTAAACTGGTGGAATTTGGGGTGGTGTTATTTTTCTTTATTTTCTAAAATACTTATGGTTGTGGATAAGTTACTTTTAAAGGATAGGGTTATTAAAATATAGTGACTATAGCATCAGTTTAGTTCAACTATCAGAATATCTGAAAACCGTAATGTTTTTGATATGCCTCTGAAAGATTTCACAGTCATTTCAGTTTGCGTTAACTTTATGTTTAAATTCCAGATCATCAAGTTATTGGATGGAAAACGGTCTCAAACTGTGGGAATCTTGATATCTAGTTTGCATTTAGAAATGAAGGATATCCAGCAGGGTAAGTCTTCTCCATCATGTCCCCCCACCCCCAACTTTTACTTTTTTCAGCATTTTATTGTGAAAGATTTCAAACAAATAAAAAAATTAGTATGCCATAGTGAATTCCATGTGCCCACTCCCTAGATACAAAACAGTCAGCTCCCTCTTACTTCATGTGAAGCACCCTTTCTACACCAACTAGATTATTATGAAGCAAAACTCAGACATAATTCATCTGTTAAAAATGTAAGTTCATGGCTAAAAGATAAAGACACGTTTTGAAGCACAACTCAAGTGCCATTATCATGCACTCAAAAGCATTTACAGTGATTTCTCAATATCATCAAGTAAGCAGTTCTAATTTCCCTGATTATTTGTATACTCACTGATTCATCCTTTTGTTTACAGTTAATTTGAGGATCCAAACAATTTTTATGCATTGCCTTTGATGTGTCTCTCAGGTTTCTTCTAACTAGAGGTTTCTAATCCATCTTTTTTCCCTTTGTAATTAATTTTTTGAAGAAACCATGTCACTTGTCCTGTGGAGTTTCCTACAAGATTTTGCTGATTGTATTGCCATGTTTTTATTTGTTAACTTTTTCTGTCCCTCATGGTTCCTGCAAACTGTTAGTTTGATCTAGGGACTTAATCTGACAGGGAGGAAAATACTTCATAGAGGCTATGGTATATTCTGTCAAGAAGTACATAACGTCTGGTTGTCTCTCTATGATGTTAGTGAGCACTAGTGATCTATGCCTACATTCATTATTTTATCAGAAGGTGTCAAAATTATCCCATCATTTCCTCATTAGTCAGGGTTCTATTACGGGGAAGCACTTTTCTTTATCCACTTTCTACGTCATTGTTTCTTTGTCTCTCCTTTTATCTGAACAACGCTATTTCAGTTTGGTTGTCTTTGGCTCAGTTTGAAATGAGACATTTGAAGAGGGAAATTTTACTTGTATATGTTTTTCTTAGTCTTTAAAAAAGAAAGACCAAAAATCATCATATCTTTTGAAATCTGTATCTTGATTGAAAACAATACTCCCCTTTCTCAGAAATCAGTTAAATGTAAATCTTTATTTTAACATGCCTCTGCATATTTTCTGAGTGGTAATACTGTCATTGTAGATACTTTCAGTAGCATTGAGCAAGGGTTTACAGTGGAGACGCTCTCAAACCACACTGCCCTTCAGGTTTCAGTCTTTGTTGCCTCATTGTTATTTTATTTTGTTTCCTACCAGAAGACTCCCATAGGTCCTGAACTGAAAGATGCTTGCGATACTTTCACACAGTACCTTTCTTCTCAAAAGAGCTTTGTTAAGGGCTTAAAATTTCGATTTGTTGCAAACAGTAAAAATTTCACATAAAACTAAAAATATCCTAAAGTAGGTGCAAGTCACAGAGTATTCAAATAAGCTGTCTATTTTTAGTATTTAAGCTTAATAGTAGAACTAAATACATAAGTATGAATACTAAACCTCCAAAAATGTTGCAGTAATTAATTTGAGTTATGGACAGAAAATGGCTAAAAAGTTCCACTATCAAAATTAGAAAGGAATTCTTTAGTAACTTTAGGTGTTAGGTCTTCTAGAAGAATTGAGTTTTGGGTAAATTCAAACCAGGAATTGATGATACTAGACAAAGGAAAAATAAAATAAAATAAAATAAAATAAAATAAAATAAAAATAAAATAAGCAGGGACATTTATAGTCTTATGTCAAGGGGACTAACATTTTCGATGTAGTCATTAAAAGCAATTCTTCAGGTTCAGTGGCAGAGTTGTGTCCTAAACAACAGTATTCTTCATAAGCCTGGTAAAAACCAAGTATGTACAGCTTCATCACCATGACGTATAGCACTATGGATATGAGTTTTCGCACTGGCAACCTTAGACTTTACTCAGTTCTTTTCAGGCATGTCCTGCTATAGAATATCTGATGGCCATATGGACAAGAGTCATTCCCACCATGTGATATTTCAGATACCAAGTCAGGACCATAAACTTTCCCATGGGTTTCCAGCCTTGCTTGATTAAATGTTCATTGTGAGTTGAATAAGAGATGTTTCCAGTACTCTACTCTGCATATATGAAGCAGAAGTGAACTTAAATGTTAGCATTGGAAATGTCAACGGTAGCATTACAGACTTAGAGGACGTGTGGGCGCCATTTTAGTTTTCTCCTGCTTCAGGAACCTCTGTAATCCACCACAGAGTTGGCTCCTAGGCTCCACTTCATGTCTTCATTTAGTAATGCATTCCAGATGAATGCAGCAGTATAACCTGAGCTTAATTTTTCTTTAGAATCATTTGACTGACACTGGCATTTGAAGGTCACTTAGGAGCCGGGCTATGTCAGTTACATTTCATTCTGAGTCCATGTCTGGTCGTGAATGGAATGCACTTGGCCTTGTGTTGTCATCTTGATGAAAGGATTCCCTGTGCTGACATTGGCCTAAAACGTTTGTTTGCATGTGGGGGGTGTGGCTTCAGTGAGCCCTGATTGGGGCGGCCAGCTGGCAGCCAGGCAAGGTCACACAGCACGACAACCGTGGTGAAGTGACCACAGTTCAGAGACTGTTCTTCAGCCTTGTGGGCATATATTCATCTTTGTCACCTTGCAAAGAAAAATGCACTAACTTTCACTTTTCAGACTTACAAGGAAGTGATGTGTAAACTATACAGTCAGTGTGTTTCCTTTGTCAGGACGGAAATATTTATTATATCTCTTCATCATTACCTCTGTATCACTTGTCTCTGCTTGGCATTGTATATTGTTTATGCCATTTTCCCTTTTGCTGAGATTACAGGTTGGTCACCTAGATAATAGTTTGGGGTATTTCAGCCCACAGTTACCCTCCACAGATGGATAACAGTTTTTACTGGTTCAACCCTTAAAAAGGGACATTGTTTTCCTCATTTGTAGGGTGGGCACTTCTCCACTGTCCACTCAATACTGCCTGTAGTGTGTATTCAAGAAGTGAAATTTGGGGGCTGTATATCTCAGGGTCTTAAATCTGCAAGTAGAGAAGCAGTGTCTATTCTATTATGTCATGTTGCATTTCTTTGCTAAGAATTTCTTTGATAATTAAGCATTGTTTACAACTAATCAGGCTGATATATCATACATAAAAGTCATTCAATAAATGTTCTTTAATTTAGTTTGATTTAAAAAATAAAGTAAACCTTAGACTAGATGGAATCTGAATGTCATATATTCCATTAGTGCATTTGGACAAAACTTCCTCCCCTCCCTCCCTCTCTCAGTAAACATGTTTTGAAGGCCAACTCTGTATCAGGCCCCATGATGATCATAATACATAAGATCTGGAGTGTAACATTGTCAAGAGTTCACAGGATGGTGGGAGAAATGTGAAAAGCAGTCTAAGATTACAGTAGTCACCTATGAAACAACAAAGCAATATCTTGTCTTCTCCTGTAAAACTTCAGATGAGTCTTAGAGGGTGAAATGAGGTTCACCAGGAGCTTTTCCAATGGAAAGAAGGCATGTGTGAAGGAGGTACAGCTCAAGTGGATAGATAGTGTGTGAGTGTTTCAGGGCACAGGGCTAGAAAGGCAAGCAGCATCCAGCACAGGTGGGGCTGAGTCTCATCACACAGGATGTGGACATTGTCCCATCAGTAACAGGGAGACACAGTTTAAGACGGGCAGTGCTGTGATCTGATTTTGAAGGCAGATATATCTTTCAGGCTGGAAAAGACTGGCCTCCAAGGCCTGCCATGTTCTGGACACAGCTCGTTTCTCCTGCTGCATCTCCTGCTGCAGTTGGCTGCACTTGCTTCTCCCCTCACGGCCTTCTAACGTCTTCCATTCCTCAAAAGGGACATGTTCTTTCCTTCCTCTGCGTCTTTGAAGGCACAGCCCATTTTAAATGAACAGCACGGCCCATATGCTCTGTTTAAAATACTTTTCCACCCTACTCTTTATAGCCAGCTCCTTTTCTTTGCTAGGTTTCAGCTCAAATGTTACCTCAAAGAAGCCTTTCCAGATCCCCCCCTAATTTAAGTCATCCTAAGTTAATTCTCTTTGATTCCCTAGAGCACTTAATATTTTATTTGTTCATCCATGTACATTCTCATTCATGTTCATCTCCAGAATATACTCTCCAAGAGGGTGATTGCTCACTGATGTGTCCCTAGCACCTTGTACTGTGCCTGGCACCTGGGCAATGATCATCAAGTGTCTGAAAGAGAATAAATCTGTTAGAAAGGGATTGTGATGGCTGAGATGAATGATGAAAGCCAGAACTAAGGCTGTGTCTGTAGAAACGTAGAGGAGGACACCATATACAAGGGATATTTGGAGAGAGAATTGCTGTATTTAGCCATATTAGATGCAGTGTTGAAGAAGTCTTATATGTATGTTGGGTTCCTGGCCTTAACAGGAATGTGTATAATGATGCCAAAAACATAAACCAGAAACAGAGGAGAAAAAGCTTGGGTAGACACAGACAGATCAATTCAGTTTTCGATGATTTGAGTCTGAGATGACTGGAGACATTTAGGCTGAAGTGTTCAACGAGCATCTGAAAATTCCAGCATGGTGTTATGTAGATAGAGCTAAGTTAGAGATATAACATCCCCAAAGGGTAACTACCTTTATCTGTTTCTCTCTACCCAAGATGGGGTTGGGCATCTTTCAGGAGAAAGCCAGATCCATGTACTGACTAAGTTTAAAGCACTGCATGACTAAAGGCGGGCCCGTGGTCACGGAGGAAGGATGGTTTCAGAAGGCTGACCATAACCCACAGCATTTGTGTTTGGTCCAGGAGAGGCTCTAAAGAAGTGATTTACTTCTTGCTGGTTTTCCATCCACTAAACTGGATGACTTGTATTTAAAAGCATTTTGGCATCCTTGGACACAGTGACTGCCTGCATGATTGCAAATTAGTGTTTTCATTCCACGTTAGTGATTTCCTCTTATTCTTTTCCCAGGGGTGATGGAAAATTGCTGTTGACTATTCTTGATATAAACCTCTGTATGCATTGCAACAGACTA